GCTTTTGCTAATGCTGTTACCAACCTGGGATCTCTTAGAGGCCCTAGGACTTTGAAAACTAAACTAGGAAGTGCTTAATAAACCATTTACACCTCCTGTTTTGGAGCCCAAAATCCATTTGAAGAGTATTTGATCCAGCACTGTCAAGTCTTATTAAAACACTGAACATTCCTGTAGAGGATGTGCAAATGTTTAAGAACTCCATAGATATATATTTGAAGATTCTTTTAAAAACTTGGTTTTTCTCACAGGCCCTGCTTTGCAGCCTGCTATAGCTATGATGTTAGTCTGTCAGTTATTAGAGGAATGGATTAAACTCATAACAGGAGGTCCTCTTTCCATCTACATATATCCCGTATTTGTAAAGTGCTTAGAGCTCATACCAGATGCCCTAAACTACTTCTTAGAAGGGTTACTTGATGTCTTCTGTCTTATTTCTTGAATTAAACTCCTTTCAGTGAAGATGGGGAGAACTCTATAGTTGGAATTCTGGTGTGCAGAGAAGGCATGTAAAAAGCAACTTCTCTGCTCACCCTTCGAGGGTCAGTGTCTCTTTGGAACTGGATCCTCATTAAGGATGTCACTGGGGCTAAGACTACACATTTACAGAAGCAGAAGAAGCCTAAGCCCTGAATTGAAAAGTCCTCAATGCCAGGATGAGTTAATTCCATTTGTTCCAGGATTTAACCTCTTAAGACCAAACCCAAGCCAGAAGACCTGTTGAACCTCAAAATCTTGGCATATAACTTTACCAAACCTGCAGACAAGTCATCTTCAGCATGAAAATAAATCCCTACTTTATGTAATGAAAGCAATTGCAAACATCTAGGTAGACAGCACCACAAATGCCAGGGTACAGGAGGTGGTATCCAAGGGCTACAAACTAAAGTTCGGTTCTCAGCTCCCTCTCCACTTTATGTATTTCAACCTTCCTGCATCACTGCACAGGCTGGCAGTCCTCGTGGATCGGGGGTTATTGCCCCAGTTCTTCTGGCTACAAATTTTTAGGGATTCAAGGGAGCAATCACCCTGTCTTGGATCTCAAAGCTCTAAATGCCTTCATTTGAACCCAAGAATTCCACAAGGAATCCACTAGGTCTTTCTGGCATGTCCATATTTTTCCAGCACATCACTCTTTTCTGTGGATTCCCTATACTTTTAGTTTGTTGCCCTTCTATTCAAACTCTCTTTCATACCCCATGTGTTCACCAGATATCATTTTACATTCACTGGATGATCTCCTGTTGAGAGACTAGTTCATACAAGTATTTCCTGGAAATATCACACAAGGACAGTTTAAATCCTAAAAATAATTCCAGAGCATTGGAACTTGGACTGTCTGAACCTTATGCTAGACAGAGCTCAAGCAAAAGAAGGTTTTTTTTTTTCCTCCAGGAGAAACTTTAAACTCTCTGCTCACAACTTATTTCTGTCCAAGAGTTAACCAACTCCATTTTCCTGAGAGTCATGGGGCTCTTGGTAGCCTTTTATGAGACAGTCCTGTCTAGTTCCACTCCAGGCCTGTACAGCTTACCAGCCTGTCATTTTAGGAAAGATTAATCCAGTCTTTGGACAAACTGATTCACATGTCACTAAGTACCAGGTTTTCTCTGACCTGGTGGCTCACAAATCCAATTCTGAAGTTAATTAAATCCATCTCATTGTGGGAGGGGTCCTAGACACCTTGTTGGTGCAGGGGGCTTGGATACCAATCAACATTATAGAGTTTCAGGTGCTTTTGCTTGTCCCGAGAACCCTGGACATCTGATCAGGATCCAGTCAGATAGTGCCACAATAGTGGCAAACATGAACCATGAGGGAGAAACCGGAATGCTTGCTGTGGCAAAGGAGGTAGAAAGGAGCTACACTCCAGGCATGGAATATTGGCAGGTTAACTTCCTCACTAATATTTCAATACATTATTATTCATAAGTTTATAAATGTGAAGTATTTGTTGTCCCCACTCCCCACAGATGCCAGCGTTATCTTGAAAGTTGTTCAGCATTTTCTTTTCCTAACCATTTTTCTGCCTGCAAAATATGTCATCCACGAATGATTGAAAAAAAAAAATCATGAGAGCAGAGCATTTTGCCAAAGATGTCAAAGATGTCTGTGTAAAGAGAGGCAAGGCGCTCTTGTGAATATGGCACAACTACAGTGTCATCAGTCTGAAAAGGCCCATGTGTGAATGACACTGGCAGAACACAATTATAATGATATTTATGGAAGGGGGACACTGTCCAGTATGTGATCCCTGTCTACATTTTGTAAATAATAGAATCTTGCTGATGGATAACAGTGAAAAAACTTAATTCTGCTTTAGGAGTTAATTGTATTTTAGATATACTCCAAAATGATAGACATTGCATTAACATTTGTTTATAAAATTGTTGCTTGATATTGACTGCACAGATGTAAAAAATCCAAATGTTTTCTTTGCTGCCTTTCTTTCAGCTGCTACTTTACGTGTTGGCAACATGTGCAGTGCTTACTCCAAACATTATTTTGTCCTCCATCATTTCTACCACATAAAAAGTGTCACTTATCAAACTACCATGCCCTCTTATAAAAATATATAGTTCAATGTACAGATGATCTTGCTGTGTCCAGGAAAGTACTAAATAAGCCTCTTATGATGTGATAGGAATAAAAAAATATATACTGTAAAATCTTCATAAAAACTTTATATATATATATAATACATTGTATACACTTATAGCTGAGGATCTGTCTGTCCAGCATGTTTTGTCTCAAAAAGACATTATCAGGAATTGTACAGATGAATATGTGACTTTTAGCAGTCGCCATTTTTTGGGTTTAATTGGGTCTACCTACATACACTTTATTACACACCAGGCTCAAAATATCAAGGATACACACTTCACTTTGCCGCCGGGTAGACAAGGCTATTTCTTTTTAATAAACAAACTCTTTTCTGATGCAATTCTTTTGGAAGTCCAGCTGTATTTCTTATTTTCTTTAAAGGCACTACCAATCAAGGTTAAAAAAATTGTCATCAACGTGACGGCTGCTGGTAGAATAAAAGCAATTTATGACATATATAATTTAGTGACAGCTTCTAGCAATCTCTTCACTGGAAACCTGAAGGAGTTATTATTCCATTTCTTTGGACTCTCCTTGCTTTGCCTATGCTCCATTGGCTTTAATAATGGTTCGAACACATAACAAGAATAAAGCTGGGAATTATTTTCTCTAAACATGTTTCCCTAAAGTTTTTTTTTCCTATTTCTTTTATTTCGGCTAAGCCAAATATAAACTGTACAATAGCAATGGCTAATAAAAATAATCTAACTGCAATGGTATGGGTCACGAGTAAAGACAGCATAAGTTGAATTGCAAACTTAATTAACTAATTAAAGAGCCCAACGGCTCTCATTATCATACTTCACTCTAATTATTTGATACACACACAAAATCTCTTATGGTTTCTAAACTTTGGGTTACCCCTTATTGGTGAATGTTTAAATACCCTGAGAATGTTTATTGTATAACGCTTTAGGAACAAGACATAAACAGATATTGTTTCTGTTCCAGGTAAAGCCTCAGGCTATGAGTGACAGTTACATTTGTGATGTAGAGCCTACAAGGTTGATAAGAGATGAAAGACAAGAATCTCTACATTGACTATTAGTTGATAACAGATTTTATTATTAAAATATGATTGGCATGTGCCAGTCTGTCAACCCAACCTGCAGGGCTCCCAAGATGATAGATATATCTGTTCAGCAGAAGTTCTAACAAATAATTTAGAAATTCAGTCAGTTGAGACTGAATTCAAGTTTAGTGGTCCCAAGACATTGTATTGCCATATACAGTACATGGTAACAATAACAGGGAATTATGGGAAAAAGCAGAATAAGTAGCTGTAATAGATTACCATATGTATTCCCAATATTATGATCCTGGGACTACTTCCGCTCCTGAAAATGTGTAATGAAAAATATTGGTATGGACCAGTGACATCAGTTATGAGAGTTATATACTTATTCATATTCCATATTCCATATTCACGTGGCCATTTGCATGCAGCTGCCGAATTCTAGCTGCAAGAATCAGTGGATTCTTGCGGCTGGAATGACTGGGGCATATGAATAACAGCAGCTGCTCAGCTTACACTAATGCCAGACTGACAGTGGCCACCAATGTTTGCATGTAACCACACACAGAATGTGTTACTTGCAGTTAGTCACGATGCTCAGATATCTGTCCTTAATCGCAGATAACCACTGTGTGCAGCTACATGTGAACAGTGGTGGCCGCTGTTTAGTTTTACTGAGCTGAGTGGCTGCTGGTTTTCGCATGTCCTGGTCATTCCAGCATCAAGCATCCCTGATTCTTGCCACTGAAATCTGGTGGCTGCATGTAATTGGCCGCATGAAAAAAGCCTTCCACACTCCTGTATTTTCTTATTCTGCTAAGCTCTTGTTTTTAATAACTAAATTGCCTGGGGACCAGCTGTATAGTTTCACCCTTTGGCAAACCTCTACTGGCACAGGTATAGAGAGATATTTAACTTTATACATTTCTACAACTCAATAGAAGTGTGTCTAACTCTGTTTCTATAAGAAACATTAGGGTTTTACAAGTGTGTTTAGCACTACTACAAAGAGGTATTTAGTTTTCCATAAGCATTGTGGTAATTCTGAATTTGCAATTATTAGCAGTATTTACAAACTTCCAATCCTGAAATTTAGACATCTAACATTATTTTTAGTACATACTGTAAAAATAATTCTGTATTTCTCTGACTATTGATTTAAATAGGAAACATTGAATTCTTGCTTGAAAAACACATTTACTCATTTTGAAAGAAGCTTTTTTTTTAATGGGGAAAGTTTCAATTCAGATTTTTTTATTTATGATTGTCACGTCACTGACATTATCACAAACTCAATGGACTTGTATTGTAATTTTTTCCAGTGAACTGTATTAAGTTACCTTATATGCTATGTCTAAATTAAACAATGCTTTTATTTCAGTTCCAGGCAAACCTCGGCTTGTCATTAACCACACCCAAATGAATACTGCTCTCATTCAGTGGTATGCACCAGTGGAATCCTTTGGCCCTCTCATGGGCTATCGTCTGAAATATGGTCGCAAAGATGTGGATATTCTCACTACACTAGAGTTCTCAGACAAAGAAGATCACTTCACAGCCAAAGAAATCCACAAAGGAGCATCATATGTCTTTAAGCTATCAGCCAGAAACAAAGTGGGCTTTGGGGAAGAAAATATACAAGAAATTACTATACCAGAGGATGTTCCAAGTGGATTTCCTCAAAACCTGCATTGTGACAGCATGTCATCAACTTCAGTGCAGATAACATGGCAACCTCCCATCTTAGCAGAAAGGAATGGTGTAATCACAAAATACATTCTCCTGTACAGGGACATCAATAATCGATATCATCCAACTGAAGTGCCCATTGTACCTGCCGACACAACTGTGACTCTTACCACCTTAAAACCCGATACCATTTATGATGTTAAAATACGTGCTTACACAAGCAAAGGTCCCGGTCCTTTTAGTCCAAGTGTCCAATTCAGGACGCTGCCAGTAGATCAAGGTAGGATTTGTCTGCTTAAGTCTCTGTCCTTAGCGGAGTATCTTTTCTTGGGAAAACAGGGTATGGAAGTGCTTGCTAATCCTGGTGAAACTTCTTATGTTATTAGGGCTACAATTCCATAAGGTAAAGTACAACAGGCTTAATATATTTTAAAGGCATTTGTTCTTTGTATCGCTACTTCCTGCATAAAGCTTTCAGGTAAGGTTAATTTTAACATAGCTGGAGCCAAGAAAACCATATTGCAGGTTCTTATCAACCCATTTCTCCTTCAGCTTACTTCAGGAGTGGGGTATAAAACTGTAAATGTTTCAGAAGCAGATAGGTTTTCTGTTTTAAAAAAGAACATTTAAATACCTTTTTTATACTTTTCCAGCAGTGTTCGCAAAAAATTTCCATGTGAAAGCTGTCATGAAGACATCAGTGTTGTTATCATGGGAAATTCCAGAAAATTACAACTCTGCATTACCATTTAAAGTAAGTTTTTTTTTTACTTTTAGGCAAGGAACTTAAGGTGGTTATAAGGTGAAATATTTTTCCCACACACTAAACTAGGTATAAATAATTGTCAGTGAATTGTTACACATTGGGGTAGATTTACTAAAACCGTTGAGTGCAAAATCTGGTGCAGCTCTGCATAGAAACCAATCAGCTTCCAGGTTTTTTTTTTTATGTCAAAGCTTAACTTTACAGGCTGAAGTTAAAAGCTGATTGGTTATCATGCACAGCTGCACCAGATTTTTCACTCTCCAGTTTTAGCAAATCAACCTCATTTTTTAAATTGCCTGGTGTTTTAGTGCAGGTATTCCATTAAAATGCTAGATCTGTTTATTGGATAGGCCCCTGCCCCCCCCCCCCCCGCCTCCCCTGTAAATATGTAACACAAAAAAACACACATTGCACAGTGTATAGTACAAACAAACATTGCTTCAGGTGTTAGCACAATGCAATTCTACATGGGGGGGGTTTTTATCTAATAATTGGACCTACAATTTGATTCAAGGCCTGATTTAAAACTGTTCTTATCGCTCATCAAGCAAAGGTTTCAAGCAAAGCCTAATTTTTGGGTTTGTTCATTTATTCTCAACTTTTTTTTACCCCAGAAGAACCCTTAAAATAATTTGTAGCTCTAAAGGGAGCCCTTGCTAAAGCTAAATCATGGGTGGTCAATGGGAAAAAAAATGGGAAAAAAATCCCTCTGACATTATTTGCTAGAGGGAAGAATACCCCCTTTTAGTGGTGGTCTGCGAGCAGCTAACTCTGTCATGTGGCATTGACCCCGAGATTCTGCAGTACCATCGAATCCAAACCACCATCCAAGAGGTCAGTCAACCAGAGTTCAAGGAACCCTGGTTGTGAATGGCTGTCATAAACAATAAATATATTGTTATGGAAGGAGAGGAGAAAATTTGGCATCACTTGATGCGGACAGTCCCAGAGCTGTCATATCTCCAGGGAACCAATAGGGAGTAGTCAAGGATTCTAAATATTCTGATCAGTTTTTCCCCTCAGAATTTTCAAGTGACACTTGCTTAGCTTGCCTCCATGACAAGAGATGTTACTGGATTAAGTAACATCAAAAAGAATGCATCAAAAAGAACTTGTCAGGATAGAAATATTGGAGCTGCCATTACCCAGTCAAACAAAGGATGAGAGGTCATTTAATGTCTGATATGTTTCAGGGCAGTGACAGCCTGACTTCGCACATCTCCAGTCTTTTGAATATGCTGTGTGTCAGAGGTCATACAGTTTGCAAGCAGAAACTGTTAGAATGTGTGATTTAGGATTTGTTCACACCGTGGTGCAAAGACGTCAGTTTTTCTGTATGCGTTCCGCAAGGGCACAACAAAATGAATTCTTCTCTATGTGCCATGTTCACACTACAACACTGGTATCATATACGTAGATTTTTCCTGTTCAGGAATCTGCAATATGTATAAAACTCATTGGAGCATGCATTAAAACTGATGTAAACTGATGTCTCTGCAAGTGAAATCTGCACATCAGTTTGCATCATTTTTTCTGCACATATGGTGTGAACAAGGCTCTAGTCATGAAGACCATGATAAAATAGAGCCAAGTTTTCTTTTACATTATGATTACCAAATATCATAAAGTTGCATAGCAACTCCTCAGTCTCTCCCTGCAGAAGTGCAGATTTTACTTTTTGCCCCTTTTATAAAAGAACTAACATTATGTTTCTGGTATAATGTATGATGTCTTTATTTAAAAATGAAATAAAAGTTTTTAATAAAGTGTGTGTTTTTTTAATGTGGTGCTGCGAACACAACGTGTAACCAAAATACACAATGTAATCATGTAATTGTAATGAAGCCTGCAAACAGTTATTGCAGACTTCATTCATGCAGAAGCCTATGCCAGCTCTCTTGGTACACAGAGTGTCCCTGGGCACCACTCACAATTATTTTGCCTCTTATTGTTGTTACTGGTACTCACTATACATGTGTGGTATATATTAATAGCTTTTTAGCACTATTATCTTTCCTAATGAAGCCCTTAGTTTGAGAAAACATATTTATATTTGGGTACATCCTATTTAAAGGACATTTTCGTATAACCCCTCTAGATATTTTTTACATTTATGAGGGGCAGTTTTAATAATTTGAAAAAAAAAAACAAAACAGCAGTATTTCTAAGGAAAAGAAAATGAATGTGGAGAAAGGATGTTGGATTAAACAGTAACTTCTGATATGTAAGGTATTGTTATACTGCCAAAGGGAATAATAGGTAAGACAGGTTGTACATATTAACATTTTTTTAGTGCGACTCGGGGCCTATATCATTATTTCATATTTAAAGTGGTATTAAACCCAATACCAAAAATGTAATGTACTGAAACTTACCAGTCAGTAGACGTAGTGGCTGCATTAATATTCTTTAAAAAAAACAAAAAATAACAGCGCTAGTGAACAAACATAAAAACCAATAAAATTCAAATACTTATAGTGAATTTACATAAGTGAATTTTATAAAGTGAATATGAAAAAAATGTAAAACATGAATCTAAATTCATATTACAACTAAAGTCCCTTCTTTTCCAAAAGTATATACAGGTGAAACTCGAAAAATTTGAATATCGTGCAGAAGTTCATTTATTTCAGTAATGCAACTTAAAAGGTGAAAGTAATATATGAGATAGACTCATTACATGCAAAGCAAGATAGTTCAAGCCGTGATTTGTCATAATTGTGATGATTATGGCTTACAGCTCATGAAAACTCCAAATCCACAATCTCAGAAAATTAGAATATTACATGCAATCAATAAAACAAGGATTGTACATAGAACAATATCGGACCTCTGAAAAGTAGAAGCATGCATATGTACTCAGTACATTGTTTGGGCCCTTTTGCAGCAATTACTGCCTCAATGTGGAGTGGCATGGAAGCTATCAGCCTGTGGCACTGCTGAGGTGTTATGGAAGACCAGGATGCTTCAATAGCAGCCTTCAGCTCTTCTGAATTGTTGGGTCTCATGTCTCTCATCTTTCTCTTGGCAATGCCCCATAGATTCTCTATGGGGTTCAGGTCAGGTGAGTTTGCTGGCCAATCAAGCACAGTAATCCCACGGTCATTGAACCAGGTTTTGGTGCTTTTGGCAGCGTAGGCAGGTGCCAAGTCCTGCTGGAAAATGAAGTCAGCATCCTCATAAAGCTCGTCTGCGGAAGGAAGCATGAAGTGCTCCAAAATCTCCTGGTAGATGGCTGTGTTGACCCTGGACTTAATGAAGCACAGTGGACCAACACCAGCAGATGACATGGCTCCCCAAATCAACACAGACTGTGGAAACTTCACACTGGACTTCAAACATCTTGCAGTGTGTGCCTCTCCATTCTTCCTCCATACTCTGGGTCCTTGGTTTCCAAATGAGATGCAAAAGTTGCTCTCATCAGAAAAGAGGACTTTGGACCACTGAACAACAGACCAGGTCTGTTTTTCTTTAGCCCAGGTAAGACGCTTCTGACGTTTGTTGTGCAGGAGCGGCTTGACAAGAGGAATACGACAATTGAAGCCCATGTCCAGGATCCATCTGTGTGCGGTGGCTCTTGATGCACTGACTCCAGCCTCAGTCCACTCCTTGTGAAAGTCCCCAACACTTTTGAATGGCCTTTTCCTGACAATCCTCTCCAGGCTGCGGTCATCCCTGCTGCTTGTGCACCTTTTTCTTCCACACTTTTCCCTTCCACATAACTTTATATTAATGTGCTTTGATACAGCACTTTGGGAACATCCAACCTCTTTTGCAATTACCTTTTGAGGCTTTCCCTCCTTATGGAGGGTGTCAATGATGGTTTTCTGCACAACTGTCAGGTCAGCAGTCTTTCCCATGATTGTGATTCCTACTGAACCAGACTGAGAGACCATTTAAAGGCTCAGGAACCCTTTGCAGGTGTTATGGCTTAATTAGCTGATTAGAGTGGGACACTTTGAGCCTAGAATATTGCACCTTTTCACAATATTCTAATTTTCTGAGATTGTGGATTTTGCACGATATTCAAATTTTTCGAGTTTTACCTGTATACAGTGCCAAGTGCTATCTAAGTAGTGCTATCTAGCAGACCAGTGGCCATAAAAGACGATAAAGAGGATGACAGTAATGGCACTCCACGCCCAAATAGGATTCCACAACATGGTGAAGTATGCCAAAAAAACTCCTTTATTCCTTAAAATTACCAGTTCACATTCCAAGAAAGATTCTGATGCAAGATAAAAAGCACTGTGCTTACATAAACAGCGATATGGCAAGTGTTGCTACGTTGGTCTGTGTGTCGCCGGCCAAGTTGAGCGTCTTTCTATGCTGGAGCCATCAGCTTGCCATATTGCTGTTTATGCAAGTACAGTGCTTCTTATCTTGCATCAGAATCTTTTTTGGAATGTGAACTGTTGATTTTAAGGAATAAAGGAGTTTTTTGCACATACTTCGCAATGTATGTGTTCTTTTTGGTTTTTTTGATACTATGGCCATTGATCCACTGTTGTGGAATCCTATCTGGGCTCGGAGTGCCATTACTTTCACCTTCTAATGGTCTGTCATCTGCACATTTTTGAGTTGAGTGCTTTATGACCATTTATAATTTTATGGTCCCCCCTGGTCTGGTAAGAGG